CTTTATGCCTTTTCTAGAGGGCCCCAAGCTATTCTATAAGGCTTCAGATCTTGATGAAGAAGCAGAGGATTGGGAAAGCAGGCGCCAAATATTGCTTGAGGTATGTGGCTAAATATATTCTTGATATTTGGGCTAGAGCTGTTTCTCACTTTTGATCCAGGAACCTAGCAAACCAAAATCACAATGAAAGATTCATTCCATTTTCTCTCTTATCATTTTTTCTATAATATTCCTTTATCAGCATGCGTCCTAGTTCCACTTTTAAATCCAGCTGGTAAGAAAGCTGCATTTTGCCCTTATTGAGTCATTGTGAGGCATTGCTGGAAGAGGAGGAAACTGATTTTCTACCTGCATTTTCTTGCTATTCATTGTATTATGGTCCTGTTTAGATGTTAAAATCTGAAATGCTAATTAATTTTATAATACTGAATCTCTCATAACTATATTAAACTTTAAACATTTCCAGGATTGTCGGAAGAAACATAAGGATGCAAGAAGGAAAGTTAAAACTAAACATTAACTATAACAGTTCTGCTAAAGAAGAAAGATTCAGAATGTTGAATATACTTGGACTGAATCCTGGGATAATGGAAACCGTTGAGAAAACACATCTACGAATAGCTTGGAAGTATAAATTAGTGATGAAGAAACAACTTTGTGAAATCAGAATAGATTTGTAGTTCTGATGTCTCTAATGCTTACATTTCCATTATACAGTATGAACATATTTTTATTAAAATTCTAAATTATGATAGGCAATGATCTTCACAATTAGCATTTATACTTATTGCCTGTCTTTTATAATCCTCATGTCATTTTGAAAGACAACATTTAGGATTTCATATGCACATAGGTTCTTTGTCACAAAAAAAAGCAACATTTGATGGAGATTAATATAATTTGTTCTCTTATCTAGCCAAGGTTAGGTGTAAAACAAGCAAGGATCAATTGTAATGAAGTGCAAAAGTGACAAAAGGCAAGCAGTTTTTGTGTACAGAACTATATTTACCAAATATAGTCAGTTTAAATTGTACAAAAGTATGTTGTTATCTATGTTAATATAAGATTATTTTTGTACCTTGAAAGATTGAATCCAGGCCATTGGGAAAGGAGGAGTTGGAAAAATTAGATTCTTGGAAGTTCCTTTCATAAGCATTTTGTAGTGATACACATAATACATGCCTGGATGATTTTAATATAATAAAAAGTTAGATGATTGAAAAATAAAACTGCAAATTGCATTGTTTCTATTTGAAAATGGTATCCAAAGTATAGAATATGTAACTGATTGATCACTCTTATGGAATACAAATATTTCTGAATTTTAGTCTCTTTGTAGAATGTTGCTTTTGGATAGAGAATCATCAAGCATTGTAGGCTTCTTTTCCTCCAACTTGTAAGATAGATATAAATTGCCATATTCTTGCTTTTCACTACAGTAATGATGATATGTTTAAAGACTTCACTAAAAGAGCCATCTGAGGCACAGGAGAAGAAATATTGAAAGTAAAGAATATTTGAAGAAACTGACTTGAAGGCTAGAGACTGTGAACTGCTTAAACTGCTTAGAAAAGAATGGGTTTTCTATAAACTAGGAATCCAGGAATCAATCTTTAAGTTTAAAACATAGGATTAATAAATGCTATATTTTCAGAAACCAAAGCTTATTGTATGATCTTTGGTGGACTATTCATTGTTTTTCACCTTTTATTCTTAAGTTTTAATTTCTCTCTCTAGGCGCAATCAGTAATTGCTGCGAACTCCATGTAGGCATCAGGAAGGGCATTGGGCCAGTAAATACTCCAGCTCCACTTAGTCGCCCCGACTCCACTCCAATGCAAGGGATTACAAGGTGGTTAAAAGAAATTTTTTTTAAAATTTTTTAATCTGGACATAAATGCAACAGGCACACCACTCAAATAATTAGTGGCATTCCACCCTCCCACCTCCCATCATAACTTCTAGTGTTCAGGGAGAATTTGAAAGAGGGAAGAAAGGAAAGGAAAGGAAAGGAAAGGAAAGGAAAGGAAAGGAAAGGAAAGGAAAGGAAAGGAAAGGAAAGGAATTAGAGGGGCAGGAAAATGTAGGATTCCAGTTCTTCACTAGAACAATTACCATTCAGCTTGGTTTGCACACCACATAATATAGTGACTAAACATAATATAGTGACTAAACCATAGCAACT